CTGCTTTTCATTAAATGTGCAGTGATTTCGCCATTAAATATCTATTGACGCAGTGAAACGAGAGTATACCTCGGTATACGTACACTAAATAACGAAAGTTTTCATCTCGAAAATTGCGAAAGAATGAGATCACGGCACGTGGTATCATTTTCTATTAACCAGAGTTGCTTGGAGTCGGTTCGGAATCGGCGCCACTTCACCAAAAATCAATGTCCATCGGACCGACGAGCGAGACGACGCGGACAGATCCGCGAGGCACGAGAGGATGCTTGCCGAAGAAAGGTCTCGCCTTTCATCTCTTCCAGAGCGATTGAATTACGAGAAAAGCTTTTCGACGTCGTTCTTACGAGCGGTCCTTTTAATTAATCTCTGCCCCCTCGAACACGAGTGTCATTCAGAGCTCTAGCGCCACTCAGCATAGACCAAGGGTTCCGCGCAATCCTCGAGAAAATTACGCGGTCTATCCTTTGCGATATGTGGATTGCTCTCATCTATGCCGTACTTTGTGTATAGCTTCTTTCGCTTCCTTTGTTTTAAAATTTCGCAAATTTCATTTAGAAAAAAAAATTGGTGCATTGATCAAAATTGTATAAACGTAGGTTCTAGAGTCTTTTAAAGAATCGAATGATCTTGAAGCAAATGAAATGTAACCTCGATGCATGTTTGTAACACCTTTGCATCTAAGCATTTCTACCTGAAAAAAGTAGAGCCACACACAACTCACAATCAGAAGAGGCTATAAATAGATTTACATCTCGCACAGCGTGGCCTTGTCAGAAAGAGCGTAGTTCGCAAACGTTTGCTAACGGAACGATCTCTTATCAGAGTTAGGCTGAGATAATGAGGGCGATGTAATGTGTTCAACAGCGAAATATAACCCTCGGCATAAGCGTCGGTTTCGGTGAAGCACTTCACACTCTGAAAACTTATTTCCAAGAAGAGGTACCATATCCCCTGGTTCAAAGATACTTTGTTGCAACGTTTACAAGAAATCTATTACACACATAAGTCGTTAATTGTTTTCAATTAATATCCTTATTATTAAGACTTGAACCAAGTTCTAGCATCGTGGACACAGGTTTTAATAGTAATTCACGAAAATTGAAGGGATGTCAATTTCAATGACTACAAGCAATAATAAAGAAATAGCTATTTCTACCAACACTGTACATACCCTTGTAGAACTTGGACCAAGCTGTAGCATCGTGGACACAAGGCTTTAGAGTATGCACAGTGCCGATAGAAATAACTGTTTCTTTATTATTACTTGTAGTCATTGAAATTGACATCCCCTCAAGGATCGCAATTTTCGGATTATTTACATATGATTCGCTTTACGTAATTTTAATTATGCAAGAACAGAAGGTGAAAGAAGCGGAGTACTGTACGCTTGACATTTTGCCAGCTCAGTATTTTCTGCAAACCGGCGCCGCTGACATTCGATGCATTTATCTTCGTCATAGCGCCCAAGAAACAATATTTACCGAGTCGCGAGATAAAGAGCCGCGTTTCGTGCGGCGGACTGCAATAATAAACTATCGCGCCGATGTAACGCTTAGCCTATCGAGTATTCGACGAAATGATAATATTCGGGTCGTTCACCGCCTCGCGCACCTCGGGGGGAGAAATTCGCGAAGCTGCGGGAGCTACGTAAAAATAAACGATATGCTCGCGCGCGGAGCACGCAGGGCTTTTCATCTGCAACATTTGCGTAAAAGAGAAAAAAAAAGAACGAACGTTTTAATTATCTGAAAAATCAAAACGGATAACAAGTGCGGATTTATGACGCGAAATTACGTTGCCGATTTATTAAAGGTCAGCCGGGGGAAAAAATGATACGTTGCGAAATGAACGTCGCTGTATTAGCTGCGAGGCTTACGCGAGACGTTATCGTGCCGTTACCTTACGAACGTTGACCGTTTTCGTTACGTACGGGGGCGAATAAAAGCGCGACGAGACGAAGTACATAAACGTATGCCAGCGAACGGCCGAATCCGCAGACCACTCCTAGTTTTCAGCGTCTACATAAGCCACGTGTCGAGTTACTGTTACTGCATCGCGGCACGCCACTTTCCCATTTCCACTGCTCCTCCTGTCCGATTTATCGTCAGACACCGCCACGAGGTCATTCACACGGAATTCGCGACGTCCGTCACGATTAGCGCACGTGGAAATCTGCTTTATTCCGCCGAGAGGGTGTCGGTGTATTTTCGCCAATTTCACCACGCGAACGTGTATTAGTTACCGCAGAGAGACCGCGACCGAGGCGAAACGGGACCAAGAGTCGCGGGAGGGTTTATCGTAAACGAGGGTAGGAGCGCGGCGAACACTCGGAGGAGATTCCCTTTTTTTTCCCCTCCTCGCCTCAACGGCGTCTTAACGGAGGGACTTAACGGAAAAGTTACCGCCATGACTTCCAATTCACGGCGGCAATCCCCGGGACTTAAGTGACTTCGGGGAACGACGCCGGCTGCGTATCGGTATTCAGCGCGCAAAAGGCAAAGCTTGCATTTTGCAATTCGCATCGCATCGCGCAGTACAGAAAGGGTGGCCCACCCTCGATGCGAGAGGGTTACGCGAGATAGAGAGAAGGAGGGAGAGAGAGCGCGGGGCGATTGTTGCGGGGACGCGGTTGCCATGGGAGGACTCGGAGGGTGTTTCGAGAGCTTCCAGCGGTTTACAATGGTGCCCTGGTTCCTCCAGTCCCCTCTCCCCTGCCCTTCGTGCATCCTCCTCTGCCACTACACGGCGATACGTGCACACGCACGAGCTGCGTTCTCGCGCGCGCGCGCGAGATCGATCTCCCTCGAGTTACCTAACGGCTCTCGTTAGGCCAGGCCGGTCGGCCGGCGAAGCTGAGGAAACCGGTATTATTGAAAAACTGGAACCGCCGGTTCGTCGGTGGAACACGCTCGGGAACGGCCACGCAGAGCCTTATTGCGCAACACTCGCCGATAAAAGTGTGCGACGCAAAAATATCACGGCACCCTGCGTTTGTCCATTTCTCTAATGTCGCAACGTAAAGCGCGTCTTCGTCTAACAATAAGTAGCAGTCTACGTTGTTTCAGTATTATCGACACGGGAACACCAAGTATCGAGCGGAGTTAATTCAACGTGAAACATCGCTTGTATTTTCAGAAAAATTTGTCGAGAGAATTGTTATATATCAGTGCCACGTGTGACAGGCAATTTGCTATAAATGCCACGTCGGACTGACAAAGCGCATTGTTTTGCAAGTCCAACGAGAACGGCGATCGCGTTGTCTAATAAAATAGCCAAGGCGCGATTTTATAAACGCGCCGTGACAAACAGTCCGTACGTAAAATAATCGCTTTTATTTTTCGCTACGTAACAAATCATCGAATTGATGCCAGGAACGCATCGCGGGGCGTTAATTAGCCGAGTCGTTAACTTGTGCAACTGTCGCGCGCTAGCAGGTTTCCCAGCGAAACTACAGCCCGGGTGGCTCTATCAAGGCGAGTCATTTGGAACCCAACCCTGCAGAAGCGCGTACCCTAGTTCAGAGGGGAGAGCCCAGGCTGCTTTACCAGTTATCCTTTCTTTCTCCGTTCCCACAAACAAGCGCCGAAATGGCAGGCAATTTGGAGGTCGAGGCCAGGTCCTAGGTCAAATTTTGTTAGGCATTACGAAACGGGGGGGTTGAAACGTGCATCGCTTATGGGGCCACCTCCCTCAAGAAGGCTACTCTCTCTGCCGCGTAATAGATTGAGAGCAGACGCGACATTTCATCAACGCGAAATATCAAAGGCTTGTCACTCGTGGTATTAACATGTCGAGATTATAAGCTACAGATTTCAATGGGTCTCGTTTACAAATTGCGTAACTCGAAACATTCATCAATATTAAAACAAGCCATTTCCCATTCAAGTAAAAATGAATACAAGTACATTTTACATCTGAGAATGAGATTTTTTTTTCTCAATGTCAGAACCGTAAACGTGTATAGCTGTGCGTTTTGAAGGAAACGCGCTTTGCATTAATTCCAAAATAATCCGATCTCTTTCGAGTCGTTGTAGTCACTGCTTCGCAGGAAAAAAAATGGATTGAAAAGCCCCAGTTTAAACAAGATCGGCACTAAATAAACGGTAGCGTAAACAAATCGCGTTGATAATCCGAATTAACTCGCGGCGATCCTGTGATCCTGCGTTAACGACGTTCTTTACCTTTTTCCGGATTACGCTGCAACCTGTGATACAGGTGGATAAGTCGTTAACCAGGGTCGACGTTAATTGACGTTGATGCAAGAGGACTTTGCATGGCGAGTAACAGGTCAAGGGAAAAGCGTAAGAGAGTAAAAGTATTCTTCGACGCCGGCGCGTATATAGACGCACGCACGCACGCATGTACGTGCGTGCGTATGTGCGCGCGCAAAGAGACACACGCTACTCGGACCGCCCGGGTATTGATTTCCCCGTGTATTTGGGGTAGGACGACAGTGTGTTACAGGACGGGATGCAAAAGGATTCGCCAGGGGCGTAGCTCATGCCTGATTTACGCGCGCGGAAAGCAACGATCTCTCTCTCAACTGAGATTAATTTAACGAGCTCCTACGACGAGATTAAACCCGATCGCTAATATCAGTTTAACTCTCCGTCGGGTTACTATTTATACCTTATTAAAAACGCATACATATTGATGGCGCATATAACCGATTGAATATTGAAAGCGCATATAATTAAATGTTAAATATGCTAAATGGCATTTATCTAAATATGCTAAATTGTTATGCTCGACCGTTGCCTCATTTTAAAAATAACAATAATAATAATAATTCACTTTTCTTCTGCTTCGCAGCGACTAAAAAGTAGTAACGCTCCTTCTCCGAGGTTACGTTACACGTTTCCAATGTCGTACTCGTCGACGATTCATCACTTCCCGAACGACCGGTTCATTTCGCCGACAAAGCGACGCGCCGTAATTCAAATGCCTCGTAAACGAAATTCCCAACGCGCCGCAAAAGTAAGCAATTAATTACTCACCTTGATGTGATAGGAGTTGAGCTTGGTGCGGGGTAGACTGTTGAAAGCGCTGAAATCCAGGCGACGCGAGAAGATGCCATTGGCGCCGCAGCTTTGTCTGCAAGCAGATAAAGCGGAGGTTCGGATGACATTAAACAAATACGACGATTAAAAAAAACAACAGGATACGCACGCTGTGTGTATTATCCATATCGCTCGCATTCCAATACTTACACTGATAGAAAAATATGTACAGTATTTGAAACTATAATCGCATAGTAAAATAATTATAGTCAGGAATATCATTGTCACAGTAATTAATACTGTAATATTAGTAATAGCAACCACATAGACACAGTGATGCCAACTATTAAAAAAATTTGCTATAAAATATAAGCTTTTAAACACAAATTTCAAAGAATTTAAAGGACTCAGAGTCGTGACAGGGTGGCAGTGTCTAAATATTCTATTCTAAGTTTATTGCGAAAAAATATCATCTCGGCCAGGGTGTATTTTTTCGCAATAAACTTAGAATAGAATATTTAGACATTGCCACCCTGTCACGACTCTGAGTCCTTTAAATTCTTTGAAATTTGTGTTTAACATACGAGCCATACTAATTTATTAATAAGCTTTTAACTATTGTTCCGTTAGTACACCTTACCGAATTAAAAGCTCGTTTTGGTTTATGACAACCGTATCGTAAGTTGCATGGACCAATATTGTGTCTACGAGAACTACAATATCTTGTTAGGTCAACCATAACTTACGTAGTTGAAAGAATTAGAAAAATATGGTTGGCTCCTAAAGTGACTATAAATTATAGTGAGATTGCGGTAAGTGCAACCATGTTTTCAGCCAGTGTACGTTTACCGCTACATCGATGCCTGGCAGGAAACGCGATTACTGATATCGAACGACCCGGGTCGTCAAGAGTCGTAAACGAACCCTTTAAGGGGTTTCCAACGGCAAAGTTGGTGTTCCAGTGAATTTTTCGCGATTCATAATAACTTCGGACCCTCGGCCTCTCGCTCGACAACTCTCCCTTCAAGGACGCCAGCCAGTAGTCGTACGACCCTCGTCGTGCGAGCCGCGTGCTTCCTTTATGCATGCGCGACAATGAAAGCGAACACGAAATATCCCTACGCGCCTACGTGTATGTGTGCCGTTTTTTACCCAGCCCTATATCAATCGTCATAGAAAAAGCCAAAAGTTTCCCAAGCAGATGGGCACGATTTACCTTCGGCGAAAACGCGCTACAGACCGATCACTGCACGCGATACAGAGAGACTCTGTTAAAGAAAATATCGATTCCATTCGAAACGTTTAAGCGCGGTTTGGAACTGCTCGTCGGTTATTCTTACAATTAGACGGAGGCGAACACTTTTGCAAACAAATTGGAAACAATATTGAGCGATTAATATCTTTCGTTGGTTGAAATTGCAATGACGAAAACAACAATGAGTTCTGCAATAATGCGGATCTAATTACGGCTAATAGGTCGACTAACGCTCGATTACACGGAGAAGATCAATCATTTTCTACAACCGTACATTTCTGACACCTACGAGCGAGCACGCTTCTTCGTTGCGTAACACTCAACGCAACACGAATGAACGGCGGTTCTCGGCACGGCTCGTAGATTCCGCCACAGGGGCACGGCAAATTAAAATGATAAAATAGAACGACAACAGGCGCCAGCGAGGTGGCCTCTCCAGGATACTCGGTGCGCGAGCGAGAATTACAGCGACGACCATAATGGTCGTTGGATCGAGCTGTGCAACATAGTTGCGTCACCAGGAAGACGACGAGCGAGCAAGCGAGCGAGCGAACGCGCGAGTGATAGGCGTCAACATACTAGCGAACAGCGAGGCAGAAAAGGGGGGGATCAGCTACGACCTTGGCCTCCACTCTAGCGAGACCGTCCCTCTATCGCCGCCTGTATTGGTTGTTTGGCAATGTCAGTCGAGGGTCACGAAAATATTGCGCACCGTCGAAGGCAGGCTACGGTTTTCGGGGCGGGAAGGGGAAACGCTCATTTGCATTATGCAATGCGTTATTCGACTCGCAAGTCCGTTATCAGACTGCTACACGTTCAGCACTTATCGCGATCGGTTTAATCGCGCAGTTTCCAATGCGGAATTCAGGCCAATTGTCGCGGAGATAAGTTTGGTAATAAATAATCCGAGAATTAACATCGATCCCGGTATGAAACGGGAATCGTTGTTAAATCTTGAGCTTGATCGCCGCAGGTTTAGGCACACGATACTATTTTTCCCCACTGCATTGCTTGCGAGAACCAATAAGGACGCAGAGTTTTATATCAGGCGACTTAAAGCTGAACCCTGATTGGTTCTCGTAAGCAATCCAGTAGGGAAAATAGTAATCGTGTGCCGTTGGCTTTAGATCGGGTGACTTAAGGCTAAAGCCAGCGGCACGCGATACTATTTTGCCTACTGGATTTCTTGCAAGAGCCAATAAGGATGCAGTTTTAGATCAGGTGACTTAAAGCTAAATCCTGATTGGCTCTCGCAGGCAATCCAGTAGGCAAAATAGTATTGCGTGTCGTTGGCTTTAGATCGTATCTACCTGGGGAGATTTTGAAAGAAGCTTTACATATCCCTACGCGAATCTGTATATATATACACATTAAAGCCAAATATAGATTTGATTGATTGATTTGCGACGATAATGTAATACGCGTCACGAAGGCCGAATAAAGATCACGTTATTCCGAAACATGATTACGATCTGGGAAGCATATGCTACGGAAATACAAAGTTCATTCTTCGTCGCTCACGTAATCGTTGGCGCCAGACGCTATAATTCTACCAACCGTCACAACAAAACAGCAAATAGCGTGTTTGAGAGCCCGAGTACAGTCTATTTTTACATATTGCCCGCGACAAACGTTTGTTACATCGCGAGTCAGTCAAATTAATATTTTCCTAACGTCGTTACGCGGTTATCGCATTTCGCATCGAGCTACGGATTTTTTTCTCTCTCTCTCTCCCTCTCTTTCTCGACCGCGCGGTCACGGTGTTCGAGCTCCCCATTTAGATCCGATGATAGAATTTTACATCGGTTGGTCGTACGACGATGACTAACGCGCCGTTATGTAACGTGTTGTTATGAAAAGTTAGTTGCGACAGGCGCGTAGCTTCGCGCGCGGGCGCACGGAGCGTTTCGCACCAAGTAAATAGCGCTGTTTACACCGCATTACCGAGATTAGTCGACAATGTAGAGGAGAGCCGATAAAACGCGAGGAACGCGCCGCGGCGCCGCTCCTTTTTTGCGCCGCGGCGCGCCGGCCTGCGCGCACGCGCGCGCGCTTGGCAACTCGCGACACGTTGAAAATACACGTGAGTTGGTCGCGCGAGCTGCCCGCAAAAATTATTATCAACGCGTACCGCGTCGCCGGCATATCGGGGCCTCCGGCTAAAATCGCGCTCGACGAAAAACAACAACAGAAAAATTATCGGCGCGCCGAAAGGGAGAGGGTTCTTTGTTTCACGCGCGATGGAAACTCATTTTTCTGCGTACTACTCGGCGATCCGTGAATTACGCATTCCACGCGTGCGCTGGGCACCTCGAGCGAGTCGCACCGTAATCCTTAAAAAAGTTACGCGTGTAGGAAGCATTCGTGGGCTGGTTAACTTTCGTTTTCGGCGAGGCATTCCTCGCATTCGACCGTGGAGGCCGCTGACAAAAAACAAACAGAAAATGAGCGAGCGAGCGAGCGAGAGGGGGGGGGCACGCTGGAGGAACTCCGGAATAAAAATAAGAACACGGTGGTGTACACGTGAAAGCCATTAAGTCGGACGTAACGGCGAGGAAAAAATAGTAGCCCGCAGTCCGATTTAGTGCGCACTAACCGGTTTCCCGTAGTTAACGCGCGCGCGCGCGCACACGTCCGCACGCGTTATCTGAGAATGGTGCTTGGTACCCGCGCGCCGTTGATGCAAGAAAGTTATTATCTAACCTTGACGCGACGCTCGCGCGGCCCATGCGGGCACCCGAATTTCGCGACCACGTGTCGCGGATACAGCGGAATCCGCTCGTTATCGTTGCGCCAGCAACGGTGACGCACGGCGCCCCGCGACCGCGTCGACGCATTATTTTTAGTCACGAACGCACCGCGCGGAGAACATAGAGTCCCCTATTATGAGACATTGGCTTCTAATACGAGATAACGGAGTTTCTCTGCTAAATTAATCGGCATCATCTGATGGTTCCACCATGAATTTATTCCTTGGAAATCTGTTTAGTGGGAAATTTATTGTTAGATCGTGGGATGGTCGCGGAAAAAAAGATTAGCGCTTACATTTTCATGTTGAAAACCTGTTATCTGGTATCAGAAGCCTATCTCATAACAGAGGACTCTCGTCTGTATTTTTTTCTGGCAATTTTGACGTAATGCGAGATTCGCTTAATCGTGCTCAAGTAACCAATAGCCGTCAGCCAAATCGTGAAACGCCCGCGTCCGAAATCCCGCTCGATTAACAAACGTGGCGTCCGAACGGTTTGCGTCCACGTTTTTGTAACGAGAGCGCGTAGGCGTATCAAATGTTATTGCACAGTATCAGTGTTTTGCGTCCGCGTCAGGATTAACCGCGAGATAATTTCTGAGAAAACCCGTAAAAGTAAACATTGTTAATTATAACAACGCGTGGATAACGATGCGTAGACTCGCGCGAGAACGTGCACGGACGTGATTGGCAGCGACGTAATACATATCGCTAATTTATATACCTACGTACTTCTCATTAGACTCATTAATACGGAAGAACAATCAACATCGAGCAATTCGCATCCGTCCATACTTATTGACGCTTCGTACTGAGACTTCAGTCTAATCTACAATGTGCTCTTTGCATCTAGAAACATTCTATTTTGTTGTCGATAAATACACTGAGAAAAAAATTTTCTTAATTTTAGAAAATATATTTACTAAAATTAGATTTACTTGATTTAAATAAATAATGTTTAAAATGAAAAGTTTTTCTCTTTATTATAATAAATAAAAACATTAAAATTAAAGAATGATTTCTTATTGGAACATTTGTTTAAATCTAATTCAGATTTGCTACATTACAGTACAGCACTTGTTGAAATGTA